GTTTTCTTGCTGAGTCTTTAGGGTTTTCTAAGTATACTATCATATCATCTGCATAGAGAGACATTCATATGGCCAACAAGCACAAGAAGAAATGTATAGCATGGACTGCTAGGAGAACAAACAGGTTTGTCCTAGAGAAGGTGAAGCCAGAATGCTCCTTGGAGTCAAGGATTCTGAAGCTTTATCTGACATACTTTGAGCATGTTGCAAGGAGGGTCTGGTCCTTGGAGAGGGACATCATGTTTGACAGAGAGGAGGGGCAGTGAAGGAGAGGAAGACCTTAAATGAGATGGATCAATTCTGTGACTGGAGTGGTGGGAATGAATGCATTTGAGATGGCTAGGTTGGCACAGGATAGAATGGCGTTTAGAGCTCTTGTACAAAGGGTAGCTATGAGTTGCAAGGGACTCGATGGCACATAATAACAACAAGCAGATATATGCACACCCATGTTTATTGTGGCTTTGTTCACAATAGCAAGGAGTTGGAAACAACCTAAGTGCCTATCAACAAACGAATGGATAGAGAAGCTGTGGTATATTCACACAATGGAATACTATGCTGCATTGAAAAACAAAGAACTCATGCAATATTATTCAAAATTAGTGACCCTGGACGACATTATGCCCAGTAAAATATCCCAGTCACAAAAAAAGACAAATACTGCAGAGTGCCACTGTTATAGAATGGGACTGACATCAGGGTTGGGGTAAGACTGAAAAAAAAAACTGGATAGATTATGTATATTGCATTGAAACAGATGAGGAAGAGAACAGTTTAAAAGCAATACATGATAGGGTATTATGATTATCACAGGAATCCAGAATTAAGGTTGCATAGTGGAGTGCATTCAGGGCAGGAGGATTGTAAACCAATGAAGAAGTTTTTCTTTTGCATTTTGAAGAGAGGAGGGAACGGAGGGGAGGCAGGCAGCCTTGGAGTCGGGAGAAGAGAAAAAAGTGCAACAATAAATGAATGGAAATCCAAAATCTCTGTAAATGTTCATTAAAATTAATGAAATTTTTTAAAAAGATACTTCAGTGACATAAAAAGAGGAATATTTTGCATTATTTTGAATCTGTTATGAATGCTTGACTTTGTAGTCTAAAATAATCTATATTTTATGTTCTGTGATACTCTGGGTTTTTTAAATATACTCTAAAATTTATATTGTCAATAAAGTTTTTCTAAATAAAACAAAAGAGATAAAAATAAATTACTTGAGGGGAAGACTTCCAGGTGATGCTGACACACAAACTTGAAACAACTTAAATCTTCAGGAAAATGTGTGGACTCAAAACCAGAAGACACTGGAAAAGTGGTCATGTCTCTTAAGACTGCAGGATTGAATCTTGGGGACAAAAGAGTGAATTCCACACCCAGAAAGAAGAGATCAGTTGAACCCACCCTAGTCATCCTGGCCACGCCCTTGGGCAACTTCTCAGCCACTTATAGTGAGCTCCTTGTCATAGACAAACTGAAGGGAGGGTGGACGAGAATGTCCACATGAAGCCACGTCAATCCTGGCTGTGACAGACCCAAATTCTCGGCTTAATCAGTGGCAAAGCCAAGTCACTAACTATCTGCCTTGAATTTCATTTGTCATTGGAAATTCTGGATGCACAGAGATCAAAACCAAGTGTTTTTAATGACATCTCCCCATGCCAAAATCTGTAGTTTACAGCTTTATTCAATTACAGAAAAGAAAGAAGAGGAAGAAGAATGGAATTAATGACCTAAACTTTTGGGATTTTGTTTTATATGTTGTTTTTTGTGGGTTTGGGAGATTGGGGAGAGTGTGTGTGTGTGTGTGTGTGTGTGTGTGTGTGTGTGTGTGTGCTCTAGTAAAGCATTCAAGTGACAAACAAAATATTTTTACATGTATTTACAGTCGAGTCGCCAGCCTCTTCCTCGTGAAGAAGTGAATCAAATCCATGAGGCCTGCAAACAGATGGGACTCCTAATTGGCAGAGGTGGCATTTTCTTCCAGGTAAGAGGAAGCCTTGTGTCCTGGCCATTTTAGGAGAGTGTCTCTTGGGGTCCTGATGCTGATCATGTCTTGTAGCCAGGACTGTACTAAGGGTTGCTGTTGCTGTTGTTATGGGCGGTCGAGTCAAAAGCGACTCATAGCTGAATCCCCACCCCCCCAACATGTTTTCAGAGGCAGTAAATCACAAAGGAGGAGATTGCCCAGCTTTTTCCCATGGAACAATTGGTGGATTCAAACCATCCTACTTTGGATTGGCAGTGCAGTTCTTTGCTCACTAGGCCATCAGAGGTCCCTGTACTAAGAGACTCAGCCCCAATTCTGGGAAAAGTGCAGATGTTTCCAAAAGCTTAGGGCAATGACGCCTTCTGACCACGAGAGGGCCCCATGGTCAACTGTTTTGGTCCGCTCAGCTCTGCAGGGAATAGTGTGGCCAGTCTGACATCAAGATAATCAGACGTTTCATAGTTTCCAGAGGCATGTTGTTTTGGAAATGTATGCCACTCCCGCTTCCAATACAGTCAACTAGACAGCATATAAATATCCACAAGATGCTAAAAATGTCCTTAATTAATTACGTTAAGATGAGCATTTAAGACTTACATATATTTTTTTCTTAAAACAATCTAAACAGATTTTTATCTGAACACCTTATTATTTTAATATTT